AAAAAAAAGAAAAAAAAAAAGAAAAAATCGGAAAGAAAACTCACCTCCTTCTCGATGAGCTTGGTGAAGAAGCGCTCGGCCTGAACGGCTGAGACGTCCCCACGGTAGTCGCGCCACACCAGAACCCTACCCTTTATGTCCAGTAGGAACAGCGCCGACGCTGCTCCCGCCATGTCGTTCCCTTCCGAGGTAATTGATTTTCAGTGTCTTCTATCGCCGGCGACCATGTAGATCACGAGCTGATCGGAAACAATGGCGATGAGATCTAATGGCGATTTTGTTGGCTATTTGGGAGATTGAGGGGCAAGATCGGCATCTTCTTCCGTCTGAGGAATGTTTTACTGTAATGCTCTTTCTTCACATAATGGACATCGTTGATATTTCCGGGTTGTCCACTCAGATTTAGATCGGGTTAATTTCCGACCCGTATCCAACTATTTAAGACCAAAGGATTTGTAGTTTTCTTTTTATTAAAAAAAAAATTACTAAACTTTTTATTTTTTAAATATGACTTTCAAAATAAAAATATATATAAATCATTCATAAAATAATTGTATACCAAAGAATGTGTCATTTAGAAACAAATAATAAAAATAAACCACAAATCAACAGTTCATAAATAGTGAAATATAGCATATTTGTAATTAAAAAACAAAACTAACTAAACGTTTCTTTTTTTTTTTATAAACGATAGATATATTATAAAACGCGCACATATGTGCAAAATGTCAGTCACCAACTGAATACAAACAGCCAACAACTGAAAGAGTGGGAGGACGTGTCAAAAGACCGCCTAAAACCGACCCCAACGAGATAATGCTCGGGATACCGACAGTGTGAGTAGTATGTGGTAAACCTTGAGTCTTGGATCGGTCCATTTTTATCACTTCTTTAGGAATTAGAATCAAAATCGAATTTGGTAAAATATAATTGGCACGGTTTTATGTACTAAGCTTCTGTAGAAACTGAAAAAAGAAACGAACCATTTTATAACTACGCGTAACCATTTTATAGCTCGGTTAATTCAATTCTACGGGTAGTCGATTGTGTGAAAAAACCGTTAATTGGCGATTATGAGTTAATAACTTGTTAAAAAAAAAAAAAAATGCAACATCTAATGGATGGTAAAAATGAGGGACAATGCTTAAATATATTTACAAAAAAAAATTTGTATTTTAAAAGAAACACCCAATAAGAGAAAACAAGTGTTTTTTTAGTGAAACTGCCGTTCTATTATAATTGCTATATAAATGACCTCCTTTTCTAAAATTTTATTACACACCATGGAGTTATCTTAAAAATTTAGTTTTACGTTTTTTATTATTCTCAATGTTTTTATTTAATAATTTGAAATTGTATGTTAATTACCGGTAAGAAAATCAGTGGGTGCAGATTATTTGCATGTGTCTATTATAATTATTTTGTGCTCCTTCAAAACTCTCCATTCATTTTGCCCCCTTTGAGGCCTAAAATCCCTGCCAGCCTCACAGCCACATCGCTATATATATAGACCTTATCATATGAACGGCCTAGCACAACACATATCCGGGCCCGAACAACAATAGTCCAGCTATGGCCAACGGAGGAATGTTCCTTTGGGCAACATTCCTTTCGTACGCATTGTTCGGCCCTCTGCTCGTCTCCGCCCACCACGGCAACAACCACCACCACCACCACCGCTTATGGCGGCCGCATGCCCCGGGCCTCGACATCATCAACCGCCCGGTGCAGGATTTTGACGACTTTGCCAGAATCATAAAGGGTATCGAGGGTGGTGAGTCCCTTCCTCTTCTCCTCAAGCCTGGCATGCAGAAGCCCAAAAGGCAAGAGCAACACGGTTTGCAGGCTCCGTCTGGACTAAATCCTGTGGATGGGTCGGGAAATGGAGCTCAACAACAAATCGAGTCGACTTCAGAGCACCAGATATTGGAGCCGGCACCAGGAGCCCAGATATCGGAGCCAACGCCAGGAGCCCAGATACCAGAGCCCCTACTGCCAAATCCCACGACGCCGGGTGCCTTGCTGCCGGAGCCCACGGTGCCGGGGGCACTGCTAGAGGGATTCTACGAGCAAAGCTGCCCACAGGCCGAGCAGATTGTGAGCGAGGTGATCAACAAGAACTTTCAGAAGGACCCTACCCTTGCGCCCGCTCTAATTCGCCTGTTTTTCCACGATTGTTTCGTCACGGTAAGGGGTTGCTTGGATATAAGTTTTTGCTTTGATATTTTGGTTTTTATTAATTTTTTTGGTTAATTGATTTTGATAGGTTTGAGTGAGATTTTGAGCTTGTATTAAAATAATATTTAAAATTTAATTATTAAAGTTGAGTTAATGTAAAAGTATGAGGAAGGTGATTGAAAGTTATGAGTAATTAAAATTATGTGAGTAGATGAATAGTGAATAAAAGTTGATGTGATTTGTGAGAATGATTGATTAATATTATTTATTTTATCAATTTCCTCCCGACTTTACCTACTGACTCGAATTGCCAAAACATGCAGGGTTGTGACGCGTCGATCCTACTGGACCGGACCCCAACAGGTGAGCCCGTCGAGAAGATGGCCCCACAAAACGGCATGTTTGTCCACGGGTTCGATGCCCTGGACGAGGCCAAGGCCCGGCTCGAGGCCGAGTGCCCCGGTGTCGTCTCGTGCGCGGACCTCCTTGCCTTCGCCAACCGCGACTCCCTTGTCTTCACTGGCGTCCCTTCGTACCCCGTCCCTGCGGGCCGGCGGGACAGTCGGGCCTCCCTCGCGAAAAACACTGAGGCCGACGTGCCCTTTCCAGAGTCCACGGGCCAGGAGATGATTCAGCTATTCGAGCGCAAGGGGCTGACTGTGGAGGAGATGGTCGTGCTGACCGGGGCCCACTCGGTGGGGTCCGCGCACTGCACAGTCGTGGCCGGAAGGTTCCGGGATCCGGGAAAGGCGGCGGGTATCGACCGAGGTTACCTGATGAAGATGCAGGTGATGACGGCGTGCCTGAACGATACACAGGACATAGCGTTCGACCCTCTTTCGCAGCAGAAGATGGATTCGAGGTTCTACAAGCAGCTGTTAAAGAACCGGGCCTTGCTAGAGTCGGACCAGAACCTGGTGAACGAGCCGAGTGCAAATCTAGTCATGAGGAGGTACGCGGACGATCAGAACGGGTGGATGGCGAAATTCGTGGCCAGCATTACCAAATTGGGGGCTATAGAGGTGCTCACAGGGAATCAGGGGGAGATCAGGAGACAGTGCAGGGCCGTCAACTGAATGTGTTTATTATTACTATTTTTTTTATCGATATTTTTCTGGGATGGAATTTTCGGACATTTTATGTATTCTCTGATGTATTTTAAACTGTATTTTATTCGGGAGGATATATCATATATGTGCGGTTCACGAAGGTGGACCGTACGAATGGTTGATGTAGTCGGACGAGACACAAGATATCGAAATTCATATCATACTAAATAATTCTACATGTTCCCTGTGTTATTATTTTTTTTTAATAAGGTTTCCAGTGGATTTGCAAGTGAATATAACAAACACATGGAGAGACATACAGATATACAGAAAATTTTATAAACACATGAGTAGAGTCATTAATGAATTTGTTACACTGAATTTTATAGCTCTACTGGGTGTTCGGGTACCCAATCAATATTAGAGTGGATGAATAATTGACTTTTCTAATATAGTAGATAATAGAAAATAGTAGAAAGACTAAAGTTTGATTTCACCCGTTGGTCTCCGTTCTTCCACAGATCTACAGCTCAATATCTCCATCCAGAACACCGATAACATCCTCTACCGTAGCCAATAAATCTGAAATACAACGAAAACCAAGGCTATTCGTGAGGTTAAATAGCAAACATATAACAGTAAACAAACGGGAAAAAAATGTTCGTTTACCAGTAAAAGAAGTTCTCTCCAGGTATCGCTGCATAAACAATAAAAACAGAATAAAATTAATGTAAATTTTATTCATTCACATATATAGTGTCTCAGTGATGAGTGATGGTTCCAACATGAAATCTTGTTAAACGAAATAATTAATCATATAGGAAAAAGGTTGAGAGGCTCTACCATGAACTGGGTTTTGATATCGCCTTCAAGTTCTATTGGCTTTTCTGTTAGCAGTTAATTAGATGAAATAGTGAGTACCACAGTTAAATGAAAAACTTAATGCTTCGTTTAATATGTCAGAGCAAACAACCTTCAGAAACTGCAGGGTAACAGTTCTTCATCAATTGTGAGAAACTTGGTGGAAGCACAGGCATTGCATTATCAGGTTCATAGGCTACTATTTTTTCTTGTGATTCTGAATCTTGAACTTTATCAAGCTTGGAGCTAGGAAGCATAACTTGGGTGCTATTGCTATTGACTTCTGCTGCTTTCCACATTTGATCCACCTCATTTCTGTAATTACATCGGCATGTCAAATTCCATTTTTGTCCCTGGTTTTCTCTTTCTCTAACAGCAAGAATTTACAGAAAACAATGTCAGGATGCTCACCTGTGTGCAGGTACATCAAAAGATGCAACTTCATCTTGAGATGACATTTTGGATTTAGAAACAGGGCTCTCAATCAACTTAGTTTTTCCGCTTTCCATGATTTCCTGGGGACACAATTTTTAAGAACACAAGGAATCTTGACCGAGCTTGTGATATAATAGAGACACATTACACATAAAGTTTGTAGCAAATACTGTTTTTAGTAATGTATGAACCTTCACAGTAGCCATGAATGTTCCCGAATCGTGGATGGTCGAGAAAAGTAGGGCGAATTTCTGTAACTGCAAAAGAAGCATAAACCCACTTTTAAGATAGTTGAAGGAATATGTCCCACAAGCTACAAGATCTAATATGGATGCTGTATCAGCTAGTTGGAATCAACTCATTCCATTAGGCGAACAGATCAAATTGAACTACAGTTTCAACTCAAAATAAAAAAGCCACCAACCTAAGCATGCCAATTTTAAAATCCTCATGGGAATTATATTGCACTAAAACTCAAGACCAGAAAATTAAAGAAACTCTGCTGCTATATTTCCATGGTGATCTTCATAAGCATACTCTCACTTAAATTTCAAAACTAGATCTGATGATATGAAGTCACAACTAAAAAAATCCACAATGTGCAATAAACTTTTGTTCGGTCTAAAAGACATAAAACGCAGTCAGAACATAATGCATTATCTGCAGTATCTGGCCAACACCGTCTAGAGGAGACTTCCTATATGTTCTCCAATTCCCATCCACCATCTCCATTACAAATATCATGGCTCTCTTAACAAAAAGCATATAACAAAAGACATTGACAAATTCGTGCATATGCTTGCCTGGCCAACACCATCTTTGTAGCTCACAAAAACACTCCTACAACCACGTTCAGGAAATCCTGGTCCACACGATACTTGGGGCCAGGAGAAATTCATCAAGGTTATGCAGTGCTCCTCCTGTAAAATCCATTGGAAAACGCACAAATATCGGCGCAAATATTAATGAAATGGAACAGGACTGAACATATGATTCATGCTTCAGCATTATCAAACATAACGGCAAATGTAGTCCTCCAAACCCAAAGGCATCTTGTAATCATCGTTATCATAGACCTAATTCATATCACCAAATACACCGCCAGAATCCAAGTACGGTGACAAATTTAACAGTCAGGAGCTAAGTCGATCTGGTTTTACAAACAGAAGTAATCTAAAACGCAACCATACACAACAATTTCATAAATCGCTGAAAAAGTACAACACCACAAGCTCGAATGAAGTGATTTCAGACTTACGAGCACTTCAGACCGAATAACGACCACGATGACTGCACCGCACGCGCCCGTGAACGGCCGGCGGTACTCCAGCTTGAGAGAGGCGGCGGTCGCCGATATCCAGGTCCCGCCTGTAAGTCGACGAAAGGGCGACAGAGAGGGGTGGGTGCGCTTACCGGTGCAGGAGCTATTGCTTAAGAACCGCGAGTACTGGACCTCCCATTGATTGATAACCGCCGAGATCTGCGATTCGCGCGACGAGTTTTCCAAATCTGAGGTGGTGGTGGTGGTGGTGGTGGAGGAAGGAACTCGCCCTCGTCCCGCCATTTTTCCTGTCGAGCTGGGGGAGGAGAGGCAAGGGTCGTCTTTAAAGCGTCGGGTTTTTGAACGGTTTTTTGTGCTCTGGTCCTTTTAGTTTTTGGTAACGCAATCAAGCCCTCGTAGTCCGTGGTGCTTGCAAACGATCTCTCAATGTTTTAATATAATTCAGAAAAGGTCCCAGAAAATTTCGAAATTTACAATAACTCCCTAAAGATTTGATATTATTTTACTAGTGGTCGTACGACTGTGCACGCACAGGAGGCCGAATTTTATCTATAATTTAGCAAAAAAGTTTAGTATTTAGTAATTGCACACTTTAGTCTAATTTAATTCATAAGTAATGTACAATTTGAGTATTTAGGACGTGCTCGAGTACAAATAAACCCGTTCAAAATGGGTTTATTTTGTTAAATAGAGTTAATTTTGAAAAATGTGGTATAGTTAGTTGTTAGTGAATTTTGAATATATTTTAGAATAATATTTAAAATAAAATAATTAAAGTTGATTTGGTGTAAAAGTATGATACAAATTATTTGAAGTGATGATTAGTTAAATTTATGTTAGTGGATGAATAATGAGTTAAATTTGATGTGATTTATATGAATAACTAATTTGTATTATTTAATAATATTGATATTATGGAGGATAGTCGAATTGTGTTAAAGTTAAATTATATTATAAAAGTGAATTGAGAAAATTTATCAACAAATACACCCTCCTTAACTGAATTTTACAACTATAATAAGAATAAATTGAACAATAATAGATGTTTGTGGATGTTTTTTCTTATTGCTAAAATTTCCATCCGACCATCGATGTTGTCTCAACATTTCTCTTGCAGCGACTTAGAAAAATGACAGTTCAAGTATTCAAAACAATCCAAAATGGTCATATTATCAACTCAAAAGGTCCCTTTGTCCGTTTTAAAAATGGTGCCCCATTCCTTTTTGTTATTATAGTAGGTGTAATTGTTTATTTATTTATTTATTTATTTTTTCTTTCTATATTCATAGATCAGAGTAGTGACGTATTCACTGTCATCACGTGGTGTGGTGGTAAATTTGAGAAGTCGAACTTTGGAGTATATGATGGTGGCCATAATATGGTGTTTGATTTTGTGCAGGCTAAACAAATGTCTGAAAAGAAACTAAATGTATTTTTTTTTTTTCCAGAATTTGGTGTTGTTGGTAATAGAAAATATTTCATACAAGTGCGTCTGAGTTTGAAGATGGTAGAAGTGGATGATAGCATTAGAATTTGGACAAAGTCCCACATATCTGAAAGGGAGTTTACTGTATTTGTGGAAGTCTCCAACGCATTTGAACCTTCTAATTTTTCTTTTGATGTTGTATGAGTGGATCTAGATGAGAGTGACAGTGAGAGTGGGCCTAAGAGTGAGAATAAGAGTGGGTCTGAAAGTGGATATGATAGTGACATTAACAGTGGAAGTGAGAGCTGAGAGTGGCAGTGGGGATAATCTTTTTGGTGTAGGGTGTTACTCAAGAGGATAATATTGTTGAGATTGGCTGTGGGATTAGAAGTCAGAATGATGTAGGTGAGGATAATTTTACTGGTGTAGAGGGTGTTACTCTAGAGGATAATCTTGTTGGAGTTGGTAGTGGGATTAGGAGTCAGAATGATATAGGTGAGGATAATCTTGTTGGTATATAGTGTATTCATTTGAGTGATGTTGAGGGTTATGAGTAGTGGTCATCTACT